TCTCTCTCTCTCTCTCTCTCTCTCTCTCTCTCTCTCTCTCTCTCTCTCACACACACACACACACACACACACACACACACACACACAAAGATGAAGGGGAGAGGTTATCAATTTTTTTAAAAAAAAGAGAGAGAGAAAGAGAGAGAGAGAGATACCTACACATAGCTAATTACTCTGCCTACCAACTAGTAACCACCACAGTTAACACAACTAGAAACCTACTATTTTACCAATAGTTAGGTCTATCAACTGGGGACTTAGGGACTGGGGATGGAATTTGGTTTTGGTTTGTTGCTTGTTTATTTAGTTTAGGTTTTTTTTTTTTAATTTTGTTTGGGAACTTTCTCTTTAGATAGGGTTTTACTACATGGGTAGTCAGACTGTCCTGATCTGCCTCGACCTAATTGCAGGGGTCACAAGGTTCACACCATCATACCTAGCGAGAACAATGACTTTGACTCTTTTACCTCAGGCAAAAAAATTCTCGACAAAGTGCACACCTAAATGTAAAAAGTAAAACTCTTTGAAAACAAACAAAAAAGCACAACTCTAATAGTGAACTAACTTGGCCACAGAAAGTAGTTCATGGTGGAAAAAAAATACCAACTCTAAAGGGAAAAGCTGATAAAAATTAACATAGCAGGACTATGAAGAGGCAGGCAAACCTCTGTGAGTTTGAGACTAGTTTGGACTACTTAGTGAGTTTCAGGACAGCCAGGGCCACAGAGAGACCCTGCCACAAAATGTAATAATAAACAATTGGGGCTGGAGAGATGGCTTAGCAGTTAAGAGGACCTGGGCTCAATTCCTAGCACCCGTAAGACTAAGAACTGATTATCTGACACCTTCATTCATATACAAGCAGGCAAATGAGTATACATGAAATAAAAATAAATTAATTTAAAATAATAATACACAATTAAGAGTGAAAATTCAAAAAGATAATATATCTGGAAATAAATTTTATTTAGAAAGATACAAAGCTTGCCAATAAATCATTTCGTTTTCATTATTGCATATTCATTATATATAAGAGATGAGGTTGCATAAAGATTTTTTTTTTTGGTTTTTCGAGGCAGGATTTCTCTGTAGCTTTGGAGCCTGTCCTGGAACTAGCTTTTGTAGACCAGGCTGGCCTCGAACTCACAGAGATCTGCCAGTCTCTGCCTCTCGAGTGCTGGGATTAAAGGAGTGCGCCACCACCACCCGGCTACATGAAGATATATTATACAAGTTTATAATGTGTTGTGGGTCCAAGGCTACGAATCAACACAAGCAGGCACATGAGGTTTCTGCAAGGTAAGATTTAATACAGGGGCAGTGGTGGCATGTGGGCCCATATTTCATACAAAATATTTGCAGGCAGGCTCACTGGCCACTAGGCAACTGCAGTCCTGCCAAACAAGCAAGTTAGCCACCTAACAAAGGCCAGGATGTATGGCTCTTTCTCCTTTGTTATAAGGTGGACCGCCTGGGGAGAGGTGTTTTTTCCAAAGCTGGTGACTTAAGTTGCAAGTGTTTGGGTGCCCCGGAAAGAGAATATTAATGAGTATCCACCTTGGTTTACCTGGGGGATAAAAGATGTTTTGGATAATAAGTGAGGGTAGATATTCAGGATAAAGGAAGCCTAAGATGCTCTTCCGTTATGATTGTGTGAACTGTGTCTCATTATTTCTCTCGCCTCCATACCAGTCAGTTAGAGTAAAAATAGTTTCTCTGTTGGGGCCACAGGCCCTGACAGTGGCACACCTTTAATCCCAGCACTATGGAGACAGAGGCAGGCAGATCTCTGAGTTCGAGGCCAGCCTGGTCTACAAAAACTAGTTCCAGGACAGGCCCCAAAGCTACAGATAAACCCTGTCTCTAAAAACAAAAAACAACAGCAAAAAGATTTAATACAAGGCAGTGCAAAACAAAACTGTCAGCTGACATACAATGCAAACTTTTCAATCCAACCAATCAGATTCATTTGTTCTTTTTGTTGTTAGGAAGAGTCATCATGTTTCTAGAGAACAAAGAATGTGTAGCAGGCTATTTCTGTTGTTGAAGGAGAAGTTGGTTAGTTATTGGGGAGTCCTTGGCTCCCCCAGGGTTGGGACCTTGAACTTTGTTTTCCCCTGCAAGCAAAATGAAGCAGGACTTAGGGCAAAATGCTTTTGCCTGTTCCCAACAAATGTGCTTTGAGTATATTCCCCTCCATTCTCTGCACCCTGCCCTTTCTTATCTTCCCATCACAATGCAATTAACTGTGTATGTCTTTCCACAGCTGTCATTCCTAATTAATCAATTATGTTTAAATTAAAAATTCTTACAATTATCCACAAAATCTGGAAATGTAGTAGAATATTTATGTTGATATTGTTTGTTTAATTAGTTTTTACATTGAGAGATAGACTCTTCCAATTTGCCTAGGCTGTACTCAGTGAACTCAAGCCATCCTCCTGCCTTAGCGTCCTGAATAGTTGGAAATAGGTAGGTAGGTAGATAGATAGATATAGATACTTTATATATAATATTACACACACACACACACACACACACACGCATATATATATATATCACCATGAGCACCTGGAAAAAATTTTTTTCAAATATATGTTAACTACATTTTCAAATATGTTCTATATCTTTCCTTTTGACATATGCACAGAAGTTTATGTGACCTCATGGCTTCTCTTCAGTTTTGAAAACTCTATACTCCTGTTTGCCAGTTCAGAATGATCCATAATCATTCTGAAAGACTGATTCTGTCTACCAAACTTTAGTGAACCCACATTTCTGTCGGGTCCCTAGAGGACAGGCCTTCGCACCCCCACTTGATCTGTTTTGCACTCTTGCAGTTGGTTGAAAACAGGAACAATCTGCTGTTTTCAGCAATGTTTCTAAGGATGTTTACCCCTAAGCCATTGAGTTACTGAGATGAGCTTCCTGCTTCTGCTGTCTTGGCCTCCCCTGTTGAGGACTATATATACTGTGTGAGAAAGTGGGATAAAGTCTTGTCTGCAGAACCCGAAGTTGTGTTGCGTGTTAATCCCGACGTCCCTCGCTCAGAAGAATGACAGTTGTCATGCAGGCTTGGCAAAGTGGAGGTTCCACCGAGATCTGTGAAAGAAGGGGTAGCGGACGTGGTCGTCCTAGGCCGGTAAGGATGGATTAGGATAAAATGGGATCCACAAGCAGTAAGAGAGACCTGATATATCAGATAGTTAAATTGTTAGAGAAACAAGGAACCAAGGTCAAAGAGAGAACTATAGAGGATTTTCTTAAGAATATAGCCGCAGCAAGCCCATGGTTTTTGACAGGTGGAGGTTTGAACATCTCCGATTGGAAACAGGTAAAAACAGATTTGCAGAAACGGCTACAAAAGGAGGGTGCCGATAGCATCCCTATATCTACCTTTTCGCTATGGTGCCTGATTCCTGATGCCCTACTTACTGATAAAGTGATAGTGAGACCGGAGGTCGTAGCTGCTAAAGAGATAGTTGAAGAAATACAGGAGGAGGAGACTCGCCAGTCCATAGGGACCAAAAGGAAATGTCAGAGCTACCAGGGAGAACTTTGGAATCTGGTGCAGGACTAAGGCTAGTGCCAAAGTCTACCCGCTTTCAGGCACAAAATCAGATAGCAATAACCTCTGAGTCAGAAAATGGGAAAGACAGCCTCAGCTCTAGTGCAGAGAATAGTTTATCTGATGAGGAAGCACAGCTAATGCAGGAAATTAAGGTACTTCAGAAAAGGCTGAAGCGCTGTAAAGCGAAGGATTCCTTATGTGTGCCATCAGCCCCACCTGCTTTTAATGCCAATTGGGGAAGGAGGGAGTCCCATTGGGGACTGAGAGATGACAGGGAGGCTGAAGAGGGCTCTGGAAGAAGAGGAGGTGTCTGTTTTCGGCCCCTGCACACAGTTGCTCTGGTTATGAAGATACCTGATCCTAACAATCCAGGACAGATGCTGAGACAACATATGGCCTTGAGCTTTAAGGAGATGAAGCAATTGAAAGAGGCCGTGGTGGTATACGGCTCTCAGGCCCCGATTACTCTTGCCATGGTAGAGTCTTTTGCAGCATTGAATCTTACACCTAGCGATTGGCAGCAGCTATGCTGTGTGGTACTATTGGGAGGAGATTACTTATTGTGGAGGGGAGAATATCAAGAAAATTGTTTACAAACGGCTAGGTTAAATGCGTAAATGGGACAGGCACAGCACAATCTAGACATGCTAACTGGAGCAGGAGCTTATGCTGACTTGGCCAATCAAATTGTACTCGATCCTGCCGTATATCTCCAGATGGTGACTGCAACTGTGGCTACTTGGAAAGCCCTGCCAAACAAGGCCATGGGGGATCAGCTGTCAAAAGTTCTACAAGGGCCTTCAGAACCATT